GTCCTTATTTTCATCTGTGAAATGTTGGTAAGGAGAGCTGGTGCTGAGGAGAGTCGCCTCACCCAGTGAATGAGAGCGCTGCCGGTTCCCCACACCCCCTTTTCTGTGGTAATTTTTGTATTTGTGTGGTACATTTCCTGACACACTGGCTCCAAGATACCTGTCATGGGGTGGGGTGAGCTTTCAAAACCCTCTCAGGCCACCGCCACATTCTTTCCCCTCCTTCACTGCAGCCTCCGAGCACTACTTTCCCCACAGAATTCTTGTTTGTGAGGCGGATTTGTGAAAGACTCATCCCAGGCTCCCCCTGAGGTGTGATTTGATTAGTCAGAGTTGGGATTTGACCCTTCACTTCTGGTCCCATGTTCACGTATGACATGGGAGTATGGGGATGAGGTGGCAATGGGACATCAGGAGTGCTGTCAAGCGACGTCAGTCCATTCTAGGCATTGCTGGAAACTTTATGACAAAACTATAGAGTTTCCGCCGATTCCTGCAGTGGACTGATGTCACTTCCAGGTTCCCTCCTGCAGTGATGTCACACCGTCACCTGACAAATGATATTTTTGTTGTTGCCTCCTCTTGGCTGCTGGAGTGGCGGCAGGTAACAGGAGGAGGCGGGGAGGATCCTGCACCCTAGGAACCTCATTTTGTAGTGCCGTGTGGGCCTGCAAGTTTATTTTTTCCATTGTTTCAATAACGTTTCTGCTAATTATCATAAAACCTCATGAATTAGGCTAGGGTGAGGGGAGTAAGTGAAGGGTTGCTTGCCCAGTGAGGTCTTTGGTGGGCCTTGGTTCTTTGACCACGACACTCTCGTTTCCTCTTCCTGGAGAACCGCATTGGGGGAGATGCGCGGCTCTTCTGGAGCGGGAGAGGGGGCCGTTCTGTGGTAATCCTTGCCCTTGTTCGACTTCAGTACGGTCCCAGCCAAAGCCTTTAGGGCCGCATCTGGCCTTCCCTGCCAGTGACGGATGAGGAGCTAATAAAAAATAATCCCGTCATTAAAAGATTTATTGTAAAAAGCTGTGGCGACTTCCTCGCCTCGCCACACCCTGCTGTCTTCCCATCCTTGGTGGCCAGGCAGTGCTGTGTGTGTCATGGGGCTGGCTCGCTTTGGGGCTAAATAGGCCACAGAACAGAGCACGGGCTGATGATAACAATACTTAGCATTGGCCAGCGTGGCGTAGTGGTTAGAGTGATGAACGAGGCCCTGGAGTAACCAGGTTTGAATCCCCGCTCTGTTGTGGAGGAAGCCCATATGTTGACTTCGGGCCTGTTACAGTCTACTTCAGGGACCTGTTGTTGCCAAGATAAGGTGGAGGGAGAGGGTACAGTCTGATAAGTTGCTTTGGGTCTCCAGTGGGGAGAAAAGCAGAGCCTAAATAATTTCACAGTGAAAAGTAGGCCAGTGTTTTTATTCCCAGTGGGGGAATTGAAGCTGAGCGAACGCATCCTTCGGAAGCCTGGGGTGAAGTTTGAACCCATGACTGCCTGGGTCGCAGGTCATCCACTCAGCTTTTACGCTAACCTAGCACCCAGGGGATCGTCTGTAGGCAGTCTCCATCTCTTATTTATTTATTTATTTATTTATTATATTTATACCCCGCCCATCCTGCGAGCAGGCTCAGGGTGGCTAACAAGGCGGTACCAAGTATTATAAAATCACATAAAACATACTCAATTCAAACATAATTAACGATTAACAGTAAAGTGCATACAGTACTAAAAATTAGAGGGCGTGCATTCCGGCTCTCACTCTGCGTTTTTCTTCTAATCGTCATCCCTCGCGCCGATGGACCCGGCAATATGTCTGGGTTAGACTTAGGATCCAAGCATTCACTAGGATCGTTGGTGGTAACAGTAGTGGCAGCTCCTATTGAAAGGCCTGGCGGAAGAGCTCCGTCTTACAGGCCCTGCGGAACTGTAAAAGGTCCCGCAGGGCCCTGATCTCCAGGAGAGCGCTCGTTCCACAAGTAAGGAGCCGCCGCAGAAAAAGCTCTGGTCCTGGTACTGGTGAACCTTACATCCTTGGGGCCCGGAATAGTCAATCGGTGTTGGGCCCCAGACCGTAGCGCTCTCTGGGGTCTATATGGGGAAAGGCGGTCCCTCAGGTAGGTCTTTCTTGTGAATTCAGATCTTACCTCTACCATGGCCTCACTAACTAGGTGGCCTTCGGGAAGTCCTTATTCTCCATCTCCCAGGTGAGGGAACAAATCGTATTGACCTGCATTACAGGGTTGTTGCAAAAATTATTCAGGTGACGTGGGTGAGGTACTTAATTTGCATAAATCTAAGGAGCTATCTACAGGCTAAGACTCACTGTTGATAGGGAAGCAGTGGCCATTTTACTAGCTGCAAGCATGTTTTGAGTGGGTCAGTGTGGTGTCGTATTTAGTGTTGTCCTAGGACAGGGTAGATCTGGGTTCAAATCCCAATTCAGCCACTGAGGTCACTCGGTGATCTTGGACTAGTCACTTTTCCTCACTCTACCCTACCTTGTAGGGTCGTTGTGAGGCTAAAACATTGGAGGGGAGAACGATGCATGCTGCCCTGAGCTTCTTAAAGGTAGGGTGGTGGTTAGAGTCTAGTAAAATACAATGGAGAGCTTAGCCAAGAGAAGAAGGAGAAGAGATTGGATTTAAACCTCGCCCTTCACTACCCGAAGGAGTTTCAGAGTGGCTTACAATCTCCTTTCCCTTCCCCTCCCCACAACAGGCACCCTGTGAGACAGATGGGGCTGAGAGAGCTCTTTTGAGAAATGCTCGTGAGAAAACAGCTCTGAGACAACTTGTAACTGACCCAAGGTCGCACCAGCAGCTGCATGTGGAGGAGTGGGGAATCAAACCCTGTTCTCCCAGATTAGAGTCCGCGCTCCTAACCACTACACCAAACTGGCTCTCAGGACTAGTCTGCTGGGACCAGGTGGGTGGGCAGAAAGCAGCGTGTATAGGGAGATGCATTTTTGTACATTAGGGGTCCCCAACCTTTTTGAGCCTATGAGCGCCTTTGGAATTCTGACAGGGTGGTGGACACAACTACAAACTGAAACCACATTGTTTTAATCTGTCCAGGCAGTCAGATCTTCAGTTGCCAGTCAGAAACCCTGCTGGTTAAGTGCCCCACCCAGTTTCTAAAAACAATTCGTTGGTGCCAGGAAAGGTGTTGGCGGGCGCCAACGTACCCACAGACACCATGTTGGGGGACCCCAGTGTACCTTATTGTATATGAATGGAGAAGGGGGAGGAGATTGTATACCCCCACCTCTCAGAGCAGCTTACAATCTCCTTCCCTTCCTCTACCCACAACAGACACCCTGTGAGGTACGTGTGGCTGAGAGAGCTCTTTCGAGGACCTCTCCTGAGAAAGCAGCTCTGAGAGAACTTGTGACTGACCCAAGGTCACCCGGCTGGCTGCATGTGGAGGAGTGGGGAATCAAACCCGATTCTCCCATGTTAGAGTCTGCGCACTTAACCACTACTACACCAAACTGGCTCTCAGGAAGCTTCTACTAGGAAGCTTCTGAATTTTAGAATTCATGTGCCTTTTGAATATAGTTCTGAGTGCAGCAAGCACTTCATGGCCGGGTTAGAGAACATTCCAGCCAGTGGACTTTTCCTTTTTTCTTTTTTGGCTCACAAGGCGGCCAGTCCCACCGCCCGGAGCAGGCGACAGAGCGTACCAGCGCATACTTCATTCCCGGACTGTCCCTAGCCGCTGGAAAGTTTTTAAGCCGACTGCCACGTCTCGAAGCTCTCTGGAAATTAATGGCCTTGGTTTACAGTAAATCTATACCTTTTAACAGGTTTATCCCCCAATCAATTAATTCCTGTAGAAGGTTTTCGTCATCCCCCTTTGCCGGTTGCCAGGTCTCGGGTGCGAAAGTAGATTTATTTCCATAATGGATCCAATGATAATTATTTCACTATTTGGCGGGGAGGGTGGGGGGGAAATAGGCGAAGGGGGCGGCCGCGTGATTTATACGGTGCGGCTGATGCAGCGTTGTTCGCTCCCTCTTTTGCTTTTACGACCTCAGCAGTCTTCTGGGGGCCAGTGCGGTGGGGTTTGCTTCTCAGAACCGGAGCTGCGATCTGGGAATCAGGTTGTAAAATGGTTTTGAAAGCAGGGAAGGGAATTTTTGAGAGCCGGGTTTGTGTACGTGGGGGGTGGAAATAGCTTCCCTTTTGCCTGGCTCTTTGGGACTGTTTTACCAGCGCAGTCACTCTGGGAGGATAATAACTCCTGAACTCATGTGAACATCTGAGCTGTTTAGAGGGAGGGGGAGTTGGGGCTGAGCCAGGTAACACTGGTGAGATCCAGGCTTCTCTCTGCAGCTCTGCAGGTATTGTTCCTAGCTCAGTGGTACGTTCCAGCTTTAGCGACTGGTGTCTCCAGCTATGGGGTCTCAGGTTCCAGGTCTTGGGGAAAGAACTTTCCCAGCCTGAGAGCTGCTGCCTGTCATCTGGACCCAGTAGTCTGTCTTTGGCAGGCAAGCATATGTTTTTCATATAACGGCAGGGCTGTTGTGTCTCTGGCCAGCAAATGGATTTAACAGTTGGCTCTGGGAGAGTCACCTTTAGCTATGGATGCTGTACCTGTAGAAGCAATTTCCCTCCCAGAGTATCCATGCGGCACCGTTTCTCTCCGTCGTTTCCTCCCTTCGTACCGACCTCGTCCTTTTAATCTTCACTTGAACCAGCTTCGGTCTCATCACCAGGTGACGCTGAATCTCAGTACAAAACGCTGCATTTGCTTGCCTTTCACTGCTAGCTGTGAAGCACAGTAAGCCGTAGTCCAGAAGGTCCCCGGTTCGATCCTGGCCTCTGCCAGGAACTGGTTTAGGTGCCTGCTCTCTCTCAGCTTCAGCTTGTTTGTGAGCTTGGCTGATGTACAGATAGCTCGTCCTCCTGTGTAGTGCAAGTGGAGCCCTTTGCTGTAGAGTCAGAATTCAGATCCAAGGCTTATAATCACTCTGGTTTTGCTCTCTCTGTCCCCACAAGGCTGGTGCCCACGGCTCGTTTCTACCCCTTGCGCATGCACTGCGTTCGGGCTCTCACCCTGTTGTCGGAGAACACTCGGACGTTCATTCCCGTTCTGCCCTTCATCTTGGAGGTGAGCATCTCTCGTTCTGCATTGCTGTGCTGTTTCTCAGTGTATGTGTTCCCTTGGTTCCCCCCCCCCCCCACCCAGCAACCCTGTGAGGTAGGTCAGGCTAAAGTGAATGGCTTAACATAAGAACATAAGAGACGCCAATGTTGGATCAGGCCAAAGGCCCATCTAGTCCAACACTCTGTCACACAGTGGCCAAAAATACCAGGTGCCATCAGGAGGTCCACCAGTGGGGCCAGGATATTAGAAGCCCTTCCATTGTTGCCCCCCCCAAGCACCAAGAAGACAGAGCGTCACTTGCCCCAGAGCCCCTATCTATACCTTGTGGCTCATAGCCACTGATGGACCTCTGCTCCATATGCCTATCTAATTCCCTTTTGAAGCCGTCCATGCTTGTAGCCGCCACCACTTCCTGTGGCAGTGAATTCCATATGTTAATCACTATTTGGGTGAAGAAGTACTTCCTTTTATCCATTCTAACCCGACCTCTTAGCAATTTCATGGAGTGCCCACGAGTTCTTGTATTGTGAGAAAGGGAGAAAAGTACCTCTTTCTCTACCTGCTCTTTCCCATGCATAATCTTGTAAACCTCAATCATGCCACCCCTCAGTCGTCGTTTCTCCAAGCTAAAGAGCCCTAAGCGCCTTAACCGTTCCTCATAGGGAAAGTGTTCCAACCCTTTTATCATTCGAGTTGCCCTTTTCTGCACTTTTTCCAAAGCTATAATATCCTTTTTAAGATGTGGTGAC